ATTTACAGTCGGGAATTATGAAAGTTGTGCATTGGAATATATTGGAAATATTCTTTAAATATCTTCTTCTTAAACACCACTGGGTCAGAAAAGGTGAAAAGCTTATTGACCTATGTTATATTCTTTGGTGACAATATTTTTTTCACTTGAATTTATTCATGTTAACAAAAATTGAGCATCTTCAAGTAGACTTATTTGAAATGAATCCAGAATCAGGAAACAAGTTTAGTTTTCTTGTTGTCTGTCAGATGTCTGAAAATAACCTCTTGCTGTGGCCTTCAACTCGACATTTAGATATATCGACGACGTATTGTCAATTAACAATGGTTATTTCCATTCTTATGTCGATACGATATATCCTGATGAGCTTGAGATAAAAGATACCACAGAGTCTGACACATCTGTTTCATATTTGGATATTTTACTTGAAAAGGATGTTAATGGTAATCTAACAACCAAGCTTTATGATAAACGTGATGACTTTAACTTTTCTATCGTCAACTTCCCTTACTCATGCATGCAGCAATATACCTTCATCACCTGCATACGGGGTTTATATTTCTCAGTTGATTCGATACGCAAGAGCATGCTCTATGTATGTACAATTTCTAAAACGAGGTAAATTATTGACAAACAAGTTGATGAAACAAGAATATCAGCTGTCTCGTTTAGAGTCATCATTTCGTAAGTTCTATGGTCGAAACAATGACCTTGTCAGCAAATACAATTTATCATGGAGTCAAATGCTGACTGACGTTTTTCATACTAATTGTTATACCATTATTTCCACACTGAATTGTTGACGGATTTTTCCGTTATTTCCCGATGATAATAAGGAGCACACGGTGGGTGTGACCGGTCGGCAGGGGATGCTTACTCCTCCATGGCACCTGATCCCACCTCTGATGTTTGGAGGTCCGTGTTTGCTCTGCTCCTATTTTGTATTGTTTAATGGACTTTTGAACTTGAATACTGTTCGTTATCTCCATATATTTCATACATCACATTTTATTCTTCACAAAATTCTAACGTCTATTTTCGATTTCCATTCATTTATCACGTTCATCAAAGGTATCAAAATTGTAAAAGAGAACAAGTGTATACGGTACCCTTCATAGGGACTTGAGACAATCTTAGCAAAATCGGGTATATAGTATAATAGGGGAGAAGGGACCTAACGAGCCGCTATTAATTCCTCGGTGCTTCGTTTCAAACTCTAAAAACTTTGATTTTTATTAAAAAAAAAACCACGAAAAAAGTTTTGCCAGTCGAAAGACAGAATGTTGTCCTTTATTGTCATAAATTGATCATTTACCTTACTTCATTAAAACTAAGAAAAAAATATTCGAACTTCTGAGAAATAGGTCGCCGTCGTTAACCCTACACCATTTTTTCCATGCAATTTTCGTGCATTACCTTGATTTTTCCGCACTCTATCTTAGATCAACGTTTAAAAGTATAACTGCTTTTGGTCATCGTCACAATATTTGAGGGACCGTTGATCGTCCGTCTCGAGAGATCAGCTCCATTTTTACCTTCGATTAACCTCCGAGTTCAATCGGGTAAGCCATATATGATTCCGTAAACAACTAGTAATATTATCCAGTCGTCTTTCACCGTTTAAACTTTAGTCACTCAGTGCGGATTTCATTCAATATGGTTGACCCGAGGCTAATCGAAGGTGAAAATGGAGCTGATCTCTCGAGACACTGCCGCTTTTGACACATACTCTCACTTCAGATGCAAGTTGATCAAAACTTCTATATGTGAAAATTCTTGCATTTTAAAATAAACAATAATGAACAAAAATGTTCATTAAAATCAAGAAAAGATTTATTTAATATCAATAAATGTCAGATTTTATCAATGTATCATACTGGCTACCCCCAATTGTTCTCATAGGTAACATTAGCCATAGCAGTTCAGTTGTTGCCTCACGAATATACACCATTTCAACGCGTTGGATTGTTGAATAAAGCAAATATAAAATCACACAATATAAATATCCATTCTCTATCCAGAGTTGTCATTCCCACTATGCTCCTACATGCACTTCTGGCAATGCTTGGTATTCAAGATTCTTGAAAAAATTGTAAATGGTGAAAAATTATATTAAAGAAAGTTTTTAATAATACATGTATTATAACTAAAAAAAGATAAATTTTAATCCATCATTCCCATAAAGGATTTTTTCTAAGTTTTAAAATTTTTACTCCACAATATAGTTCTTTAATAAACTAGAAAATAAATCGTTTTAAGGAATGATAGCTTTGATATAAATAATATCATCTTTATTGATAATTGCATTGATTTATTAGGATTTTTATAATGATTCAACTTAAAATTTTCAATGTTTAAAATCTGTCCAAGAATCTTGTACGAGCATTGACAGAGGTGTTGGGAGCGAAGCAGAAGACAACTCTGGATAAAAAATTCTCATACGGATAGATAACCTCTAAATACATATGAAAGGCCAAGTCCTCTTCCTAGGGGATATAATCAAGAAAAGACAAAAATAGGGTAGCATCAGGAAATGTCTTTTTCTCAAGAACCAGTGTACTAGAAAAAAAATGAAACATGTGAAAGGTTCAAATCATGACCCCCAGGGTAGGAATGGGGCCATAATAGGAAATTAGTTGAAATTGATTTTTCTTCTCCAAAAGAATGTTAGTCATACTGATATCGAATCACCCTCTTGTATGGATTCAGAAACCCCTTCAAATTAGGTTGGGCCATAATATGGAGTCACAGCTTTTCATGGAAATGTAAGAAAAAAAAATTTAATTTTTTTTTAGCTCACTGATCACATCTTGTCTGTAGTCTGCCTCTCTTGCTCTCTGTCAGTCCGTCTGTAAACTTTTCACATTTTCGACTTCTTATCCATAACCATTGGGCCAATTTCAACCAAACTTGCCAAAAAGCATCCTTGGGTAGAGGGGATTCCGAGTTGTTCAAATGAAGGGCCAAGCTCTCTTTCAACGGGAGATAACTCAGAAATAATGAAACTTTGGTGGCATGATTTAATTTTTTTTTCAAGAACCACTGGGTTAAAATAGTTGAATCTTATAGGTTACCTTCTTTACATAGTGTAGATTCATATTTGTTCAAATGATGACTCAAGGAGTAGAGTGGGGCTACAATGGGGGATCAAAGTTTTTCATGGGTAAAGTATAGTTAAAATTCTTTAAAAATCTTCTCAAGAACAACAGATCTTTGATAAGCCGTATTGAAAATGAAGCATCCTCATGCAGCTAGGTTAAGGACGCCCATGAAATATACGCATTTATATATTCAGGGAAAATGAATACAATTTTAATATTTTTTACAGCAGTAGTTTTGATAAATGTGAATTGTGGTAATTGCACTGGCTGGACCCCTCATTCTAGCACGTTACTGTACAAATGTGTTCCCTACGGCTATATATAAAGTCTACACATTATCAATTTAGTTTGACAATAAAATGTGGATTAATATATTTCAGATTATGTCTCTCTTTTTGTTTGACTACGCATGTTTCGTATTTATTTTTATTTTTACAAGCTATAATAAAAGCTTGATCCACGCCTCAAATACAGAGAAACTGCGTGTCAAACTAAGAAATTACGTCATCTCAGTAAGTACAGCGAGATCAAACGGGCTTCCATTCTGCATACGCTAAGTGCTATTATGGCAAGATAAGTTACACATCCATCTATCTCTATGACATTTATGAGAAACGAAAGTATTTAGTGTGTTTCAAAAAAGAACATATATTATTTATTCATCGAGATTCATTTGTATTGTTTTAACGTGACGTCATAATAGCTCTCCCGAACCTCTGCATAGACTGACGTATATATGGGAGTCCTTAACCTAGATGCGCTGGTAGTGTTGATTCATATTTATTCAAATCATGACCCCCAGGGGTAGGATGAGGTCACAATGGGGGATCAAATGAAATATGTTGAGATAACGAACAGTATTTGAGCTCAAAAGTCCATTAAACATTACAAAATAGGAGCAGAGCAAACTCGGACCTCTAAGACATCAGAGGTGGGATCAGGTGCCATGGAGGAGTGAGCATCCCTTGCTGAACAGTCACACAGACCGTCTGCTCCTTGTCATGATCGGGAAATAACAGAAAAAATCCGTCGACAATTCAGTGTGGAAATAATGGCCTAACAATTAATATGAAAAAAGTCAGTCAGCATTTGACTTAATGATAAGATAATGATGATTTGACTTAATGATAAGTTTTACATAGGAGAACCTAGGAAAAAACCTTTAAAATCTCAGCAAAGCCATGTTTAGTCATATTGATATGATAGCATTTTCAGGCAGTGCAGATTCACATTTGTTCGAATGACGACCCATAGGGGTAGGGTGGGGCCACAATGGGGGATCAAATTTTTTCATAGGAACATATAGGAAAAAAATCTTCTCAAGAACAGCAAAGCCCTGTTTAGTCATATTGATATGAAAGCATACTCAGGTTGTGTAGATTCCAGTTTGTTCAAATCATAACCCCTGGGGATAGGGAGGGGCCACAATAGGGGATCAAATTTTTACAAGGGAATAGAGAGGAAAAAAGCTTTAAAAATATTCTGCTCAGGAACAGCAAAGCCAATAGTTATATTGGTATAAAAGCATCCTCAGGTAATGCAAATTCAAGCCCCCCTTTTCATGGGATTGAAAAGTGATAAACTTTTTAAAATCTGATGAAGAAAAACAGCAAGGCCAAAGTAACTCAGGTAAACTGTTTGATGGACTTGTATTTATTTCTGACATGATTTGAAAAATCTACCTTGTTTTCATGCATTTAGCATTTTACTTTCATTTCTTACATTTATATTCTGTTCACATTTCCTTTAAGATATACATTTAGAATGAATTATAAGATAAAAAAATGAAATTATTGCAAGTTTCCATAGTTCAGCATATATCTGCAGTATATATCAGTAATATTTCAGCAATCCTCTCTTAATTAATTATATTAAATGCAGGTACTTGATTTTCATCACTTGTCTGTTTCCCCATTGAGCAACAAACAGATTGTCATTTGTATCTGTACACAGTCCATAGGGTTTATTCAGTCCACAGTCTATGTAACAGAGGAACTGTCCATCCTGGTCTATGATGTAGACACAGTCATTGTTATAATCAGCTGTAAGGATGTGACTCTGACTGTCTGTGGTGATTCCTAGTAGACTGAATGATTTGTTCTTTGGAGCAGGAGTATGTCCAGCGTACGTGAATCTCAGTTTACCAGCCTGATTGACCACCACTACTGTTCTAGCTCCACTGTCAGACACACAGATATCCAGGTTCCTATTCTCAGTTATGTATCTGTAACAACCACCAGATGAATAGAGAGGTTTACCTTGATCATCAAACTGAATAGTTTGTTTCTCTGTGAAGCCAGAATAACGGACAACTTTTGATGGTTTGTCATCATCACTGTGTATTATAACCAGGAGGTCACCAGAGGAGGTACTACAGACACCGTAAGGTCTCCAGTTTTGTAGTCTGATCACCTCCTCTATCTTCTCATTCTCCACAATGTTCACAGTTCTAGCAGTGTAATCAGTATAAACTAGATCTCCACGTTTTGTCACTGCTATGTCAAATGGCTCATACCCAGAATTGGTTTTGAATGACTTGAGTAGTGATCCCTGATTGATGCTGAAGAGCTTCATGGTGCTGTCATCTCCTCTTGTCCAGATTTCTTCATCACTCAGACAGGCCACACTGTAAAGTTTATAGTTATACCCAGTGTCTATGGTGGTGACAGTCTCTGGTTCATCGAGCAGCTGTTTGACTGGAGGAAAGGATTCAGCTTCTGGTGATTTCCGTATTGTCTTTATGATGTACCCATGTTTATCTGATGTTAAAGAACTTGATGATAAGGTTCCAAACATTTTACTTAGGTCTTCTCCTTGAATTTTTCCTGGAATCAATTTGGGTAAAGATGGCACAATCTTATGTGGAAGATTTCTGTATATGTGTACTTTGGATAATACACTTATCAGTTTTGACATGTCATTAGTGTTTATAGCTATTTCAGTTGAATTGATTTCATCCTTGATGTCAGAAACTTTCATGTTTATTTCATCCAGATGTTTCTGTAGAGTTTGTAACTGTGTGTTTCTCATCTCATCAACTTCAGCTTTAAGTTTCTTGACAAGTTTGTCAATTTCTCTGTGCCAGTCCTCTCCATGTTTTGTTATGGCTGTTGAGAGATCTCTATATTCCTTTTCTAACTGACTCATTCTGTTTTGTACATCAGAGGCAATGTCCTGGTAGGTTGGGTAAATCGTATCATTTAATTCATTTCTTTCTTTTATAAAAATGTCCTTCTTTTCATCCAGAACTCGCAAGATATTAGATAATTCATGACCTAAATGATGATTAGATTCAATGCAGCTGATGCAGACAGGAATGTCACATTGTTTACAGAACATTTTACATCGTTCTTTTTTATGAGTTTTACATCCAGGGTAGAGGGGAGTGGATTTCCTGTCCTGAAATTTGACAACTTTGTGGTCCTTGGATTCATCAGATATCATATGTTTTCCTACACAAGCTGTACATAGATTGATAAGACATGTATCACAGTGCATCTGTACCACAGCGGTCTCACACAGGTCACATCGCATCACGTCCTGGGCACTGGTACGGGGGTCCATTATTAGATTTTTGGACTGAAGCATAAAACGATTAACATTAATAATGACTATACATTTATTGACTGGATTTGAGGACAACAAAAGTTTTTTTTTCCAGAGCAGAGAATCACATTGTAGGCCTGAGACCATTAAGCAGAATATGACTACGAGTCATTATATATAAGGTTCATTCACGCATTGAGTCTTTGATATAAACAAATTGTGTTCTCATGGTTAAAGCGTACAGCATTTACTTTTAAATGATTTTTAAAACATTTTTTTTTTCAATTCACAAAATTCTTGAGTTACTCCTGTGTTTCTTACCTGACTTCAGTAATGGCGACCATCCTGTCTATCGATCTCTGGTATGTACTCTGAACAGGTGACTCACTTACATGTGTTAGCTACCTGTGAAGTACATGTATTTATATTTCCTGTTTTTAGATTTTGACAAATGAATGGTTTTTTTCCTCATTCTCAATGCATTTTCTATGTTGATAAAATGAAGATGCAAAATTTCTCACCATATTAAGTTTTTCCCGTAAACCTTATATTTTATGTAGTTTATTTATAATTATACACATTATTGTATTCCTATGACATTGAAATATTTTGGCAGTAACTACAATGTATACCTGTTTTAGAGTTATTTCCAAATGTACAGATCTATTATTAGTATTATTCAGTGGTAGAAGAAATGAAAAAAGTTAAATTAAAATTGTTTCAGTTATTTGTCTGTTTTTATTATTTATACCTTGGAGAACAAATTTCTCATAAAAGGGAGATACTTTTTTTGAAAGGGGTGTCATAATTTCTAGATGGCAGTGTTTCCTTCACAGGACTTTGACAACTGTTATAAGTAACTGTCAGGCATGGGCATGATTACTGAAAAATGTAATCGATTATTAATCGATTACTTAGAGGAATTTTGTGTAATAGATTATTAATTGATTACACTTATTTTTGTCCTGTATCGATTGTAATCGATTACTTTGGAATGTGTAATCGATTAATAATCAATTACTTACAAGTTTTTATCCCCTCTAATATCAATGCAATATTCAAATGTTAAATGGTAATGTTGATATTATCCACTGAAGTCTGAATTTGTCCCTGCAGTTTCAGTGCTTTCCTTAACACGACCTTGACAACTGTTTTCAGTAACTGTCATACCCTCCTAGTAAAGCTGTGGTCAATATTGATCTGTTGACTCTTTATCAACTGTTATCAGTATCTGTCATACCCTCCCATTAAACCTGTTGTCAATATTGATCTGTTGACTCTTTATCAACTGTTATCAGTAACTGTCATACCCTCCCAGTAAAGCTGTGGTCAATATTGATCTGTTGACTCTTTATCAACTGTTATCAGTAACTGTCATACCCTCCCAGTATAGCTGTGGTCAATATTGATCTGTTGACTCTTTATCAACTGTTATCAGTAACTGTCATACCCTCCCATTATATTTGTGGTCAATATTGATCTGTTGACTCTTTATCAACTGTTATCAGTGACTGTCATACCCTCTCAGTAAAGCTGTGGTCAATATTGATCTGTTGACTCTTTAACAACTGTTATCAGTAATTGTCATACCCTCCCAGTAAAGCTGTGGTCAGTATTGATCTGTTGACTCTTTATCTCCTAAACAAAGCGCACCTGATTCTTGTTAACCTCAGAAATATATACACTTTTATTGGTTTTCATGGCCTAGAGAGTTCTACATGTAGGAGATCATTCTCAAATATTTTCATTAGGGGCGGGTTACTCTGGCTGATTTAAAAATGAAAACCCGAATCGAACCTTTAATTTTTATTCTGGCTTGCCAATGGCCTATTAAAACCACAATTCTTTGCAGTGTTTTGTTTTAAACTGATAATTTCATGTGAATTTAATAATCATCATAATTTTCTATTTTAATTTAAAGCACTGGAAAAGTAAATTGAGTAAAACCAATACCTTCCCAAATTTTTTTGGGGGATCATAATAACTCCATCGTGTATACATGAATAGGTTTAAAAAGAAAAAAAGATTTCTGCAAATAGATTTTTTTTTCCTTTTGCATCACCAAAGAATTCATAGTGGTATAGGAAATACACAGATATTTAGAAATAGCTTTAAATTTCAAAACAATTTGACAACAAACAATTTTTTTTACAGTTAAAAGCAACAAGTCATATTTATATAAAGGACCTAAAGGTGGGCATCTTCTTCTTTGATAGATTTAAAGTAACTGATAATAACTGGCAGAGAAAATAACTATGCAAAATTTTGATTTGCATTTAGTTTAAATTGTGGCCCCAAAGGCTAAGGCCACAAAAGAAAAAGTCATTTTCTTTTTCCTAAATAAAAGAACCAGTGTGACTCAAGTGAGTGTAGTGGCCCTTGGGCCTCTTGTTACCAGAGTTGTCTCTCTTGGCACTGGAAATCCAATGTACTTATTTGTTTACTAGAAGTTACCTTTGCACTATATTTTTAATTAAAAAATTGAGCATCTGCAACTAGATTCTTTAATGCAAAACAAACTTCAGGAGAAGTACCAGCTTCAAGTTTATCTTCTATTAAAACAATTCAGTACAAAAAACCCGTAAAATGAATCCAAAATCTGCAAACGAGTTTTGTTGTAATCTGTTAGGAGCGTGAAACTTATCTTCTCTCCACATTCAGCTCACTTACATTTAAAAGATTCTAAATATTTCAAAAGTAGTTAAACGTAAAATCTTAATCTAACACATGTAGATTCCCATCTCAAAAACAATCCTATCAAGTAATGTCTTACTTATGAAAGGGGATTAGGAATTTGTTGCCTTAGCCATTAGCCATGTTCTGATGTGAAGGCAAAAATGATATAGATGCTTTTCTGTCTGTAGTTTAGGGGTCTGGACCCATTAAGCACCCCCTAAGCAGATTCAGGGAGGGGGGGGGCTCCACAGAAATTGACAATATAAAGAATGTTAGAATCTCAGAATGTGCAATGTGGAAATAATACCAAGTAATTTAACTTTGAATACTGAAACAAATTTATTGAAATATGTTTTCTTAAAAAAATCTTCTACATGTATTCCCTTTTCTTATTGGTTGAAAAATTAATGTAGATGCCCTGGCATAAAAGCATTATATGGTAGCTTTGCCATTTTGATCAGCTGGAATTTTTTTTTTCGTATCATAATTATTATTACAGTAATACATGTGTTGACTATGTTTGTTTTGTCTGATTACAGTAATACCTGTGTTGTCTGTGTTTTATCTGAATACAGTAATACGTATATTGTCTATGTTTTATCTGATTACAGTAATACCTGTGTTGTCTATGTTTTATCTGATTACAGTAATACCTGAGTTGTCTATGTTTTATCTAATTACAGTAATACTTGTGTTGTCTATGTTTTATCTGATTACAGTAATACCTGTGTTGTCTATGTTTTGTCTGATTACAGTAATACTTGTGTTGTCTATGTTTTATCTGATTACAGTAATACCTGTGTTTTCTATGTTTGTTCTATATGATAACAGTAGTACCTTGGTTTTCTATGTATGTTTTATATAATTAAGTAGTATCAGTGTTGTCAATGATTTAATTGTTTTATATAATTACAGGCTGTATCGTTGAAGGATCAACCTCATGATAATTTCTTCTTCTACAACGGGATAGAGGGCAGTGGCTAAGTGGACAAAATCTCATCATCTTGACCTCTGAACCTGAGTTTATCCTGAGCTTCGAGCCATTTCATAGTCCGTCATAATAATACTGTCAGTCTGTGTTGTAATCCATGTCATTTGTCATTTGATATTATCAATAAAAGTTTGAACGTATGCAAATACAACTGAACAGTGTTATTTCGTATAAGGCTGTATTTTACAAAAGCAAACAGAAACAAACCTTGATATAAATTATTCATAATTGCAGATAGGGAAGAACAGCTGTTATTTATTCATAGATTACTGGGAAATAAAATGTCCTTCTCCTTGCATTCAAATGGTACCATAGAATTCATACAAGTTTGAAATGTAAATTAATTAAAATTAAGGCTAAATTTCTTTTTAAGTCTCGCCTGACCCAATGGCTTAAATGAGTTAAATAGAATTATGCTGATAAGATTTCTAAAATGCTTCATCTGTCTGCATGAGGTAAATTTTTATAACAACTTCATCACCAGAAAGTATAGGCCTACCTCAACCAAACGTACACAGAATTACTTTAGAGATATAGATATGCAGTTATGTTTGTTTCCAAGAGGTGGTAATAATGGTATAAGTACATGTAGGACGGAGTTACGTGAATATGAACCCATTCTGGTATCTTCAGTCAAATACAAATGACCTTTTTAATGGTTAAGATTTACATTGATGGGGGCAAAAGCAAGGGTATAAAAAATTTTGGATATGAATAGATATGGGAAATCTCATGAATATAATGTCTAGAGTTCGTCAAATCTGCAAGCGTCCTCATGAAGTGTAAACTCAACCTTACCTCCAAACTAGGGTTGAGTATCAAATGAGCTTCAAATGTTATTGTATAACGAACAAAAGGGCTTCGGTAAATTACTGTAATATGCAAGCATTCCTACTAGGATCGATATATATCCATGCTAGGCCACTAACTTTGATCAGTGTTGATGTCAAATTAACATTCATATTTATTATTTATTCACCAATAAAGGGCCCTCAGGAGGCATTTATATTTATAATACTATGATTAAAATTTACATTACGTTATAAAATGTAAATGATTTCTACAATGGAAATGAAATTCGTGGAAATGTTAAATTTTTAAGATTTCCACAATTGTCTTAAACTGGGTCAAGAAATATATAGAAGAGGTACAAAACCTCTTGATATTTATATATTTATATAAATAGTAGTACAGTTGAAGCTGGTATCTCGAACATCGATATCTCGAAAACCCTGGCTATGTTGAAGTGATTTGGAACTCCCAAACTCTTATTATTGATAATACCCTTGAAAGTTTTTTCTCGGTCCAATCGAGTTTGACTATAATAATAATAACACAATGTAACAATAACATTTCTATTGCATAG